TATTACACTAAAAAAAATTAGTTTTACATCTTTCTCTACCTATGTCACCAGAATATCTTAAGTTCTGTTTTATTCTTTTTCCTCTTTGTTTCAGCAAGAATGGTCAGAATCAGGAGAGTGAGGGGACAGGCAGCCCTGGTTATACATTAGCATAATTTACAACCCCCTCACCCTTCTGTGCCCATCTCCATCACTCTTTTTAGAGCAACAGGTACAAAAGAGACTAGAAAAACTTTCAGGAGATACTCTGAAGCAGGAGGAAGGAAGATGCGATGCAGAAACACAGGGTAAGTGGAGATAGCAGCTGCTACTTGACGGGACAGTTTACAAAATGAAACTAATTGGTTTTAAAGGAACCTGATCAACTAGGCTAAATATGTCTTCTGGGCTCACTGTTTCAGTAGATGGACCTATGGGTTTATTTTTGCCAAACCAGAATAAGATGAAAAAATCATGGTGACAATGGAGGACTCTTAACAGTGACAAATACTTTGCCTCTGAGTTCTCTCTTCTCCATTAGACAAAACAACGATGGCCTCTTTGATAAAAGTTAACTAAGTATGAAGATTCCATATAATAGAAATCCTTGCTAAGCATTTGGAATGCATTTTTTGGGGGGGGGTTGGGGGGTAAAGCTGTCTTTCATTAAGTAAAATATATCGATACTTTTGCTTCTTTTTTCTTTAAAAAAATTTTTTTTATGCTTTTGCTTCTTAAAAGAACCTTAAAAGTGGTTAAGAAACTTGGACCCATGTATTTGAGCCACTGTCTCTTGTAAACATGAATTCTGGGCAGAGAAGTGGGGAATTGCATTTCTCAGAATGGTGAGGAGTACCCTTCACTTTCTTACAGCAGGGAGGGAAATGGGAGACTGTGAGGATGTTGAGAATATGATCAGACTTTAATGTTCTTAAACAACAGAGAAGAAATAGCTTTCAAAACCTTTAACTTGGGGGATATAGGAAAAACCAGGAGAGATGAATTGTCTTAACTATGCTAATAGTCAAACTGACTTGCACTGTGTTCCTGCAGCCACAGACCAGACTGGCCTGGATGCACCTGAGTGAGAAAAATTTCTTTGAAAGCAGAGGGTACTCTAAAAGCTAAATAAGAAAATCAAAAGGAACTGCTTTCACTAGGAAAAAAAATTCAACACAACATGTGCTAAAAGGCTTTTCTTTTTTCTTCTTAACACTATGGAATTTTTAACATTTTTTTAAACATATGAAGTATTCTTGCTCTGTATCACAAATAATAGGAGATTTTTCTTTTGTATTTTTACAAGTACTTCCATCTCTGAGACTAGAGCTCTCCAGCTTTGGGCTAATAACATGTCCAGATTGAAAGGCATTACAGAAAGAAAGTCAATTTTCTCTAGAAGCAATTATACATACAGTCTAGGAAAAGGCCAGTTTTACTAAGCAAGGACCACCCATGCTGTATGTTTGTTGTATTACTTGATATCAAAGCAGAAACATCAAATTCTTCCTAACACACATGAAATAAAGAGCCTGGCTAAGGAACTCCCACATCCAATTCAGAGGTATCTGTTACAGCATACAGAACTTGGCAATGCTGCTACTACCATTTTACTGGAAAGGGACACTGCTATTGACTATATAATGCACTATGATTTCTTTAACTTTATATATATTTTGGGTAAAATGAGCATGATTTTGATCCTAGTTGTCATAGACGCAAGTATATTCTTAATGGATGGTACTTAGGTACCATATCATCAGAGTAATAGCAAGAATTTGCTGATTCTTTGTCATTAGTCTACCTGAAAATATTTAATCACGATTATCATGATTATTATCATAACTTCAGAGGGGGTGGTCAATACAAGAATTATCATCTCTGTTTCGTTTTGCCTCATTATGATTTTGATGTAATGACTTGCATTCATTTAACGTGTACTTACTACTCAGTGCTAAACACAGTCATGGGAGAGACAGAGCTAAATGAAAAACGGCCCTTAGGACAGTATGTTCTTGGGGTGGGAGAGAGGAGACAGACAGAAAATAGCCACAGTAGATTGAGAGATAGATGCACACCATATTTTGCATAGCATGTAAGAATGCTTAAAAAAGCATGTAGTAGAGAAAAGATGGTCAGAGAGAGAGAGAGAGAGAAATGTGAGGGCATCCTTGAAAGAGGAGAGATGGTTTCCTCTGTGGACGAAGGGGTTGTTTCTGCAGGAATAAGATAACGACCAGTACGCAAAGGTATGAGAATGTGAGCAGATCTGTTGGTCTTAGATCTGTGTACGGCAAATGAGCCCGGAGAAGAGGGGAGGGCCATAGCAGGACGGGTGCTGTACCATAATAAGAAGTTTAGGCTTTCTGGGTGCCTGAGTGGCTCAGTCAGTTAAGCGTCTGCCTTCTGCCCAGGTCATGATCTCAGGATCCTGGGATTGAGTCCCACATCAGGCTCCCTGCTAGCGGGCAGCCTGCTTCTCCCTCTGCCTTTGCCCGTCCCCCTGCTCATGCTCTCCCTCTCTCAAATAAATAAATAAAGTCTTTTTAAAAAAATGAAAGAAAGAAAAGAAGTTTAGGCTTTCTTTTTTTTTTTTTTAAGATTTTATTTATTTATTTGACAGAGATCACAATCAGGCAGAGAAGCAGGCAGAGAGAGAGGGGGAAGCAGGCTCCCTGCCAAGCAGACAGCCCGATGTGGCGCTTGATCCCAGGACCCTGGGACAATGACCTGAGCCAAAGGCAGAGGCTTTAACCCACTGAGCCACCCAGGCACCCCAGAAGTTTAGGCTTTCAACTGCAGGGCATAATTTTATATATTACCCAAATACTCCAAAAGTGAATGTTTTAAAACAGTACGATATGACATAGAGATAGATAAACCAATGAAACAGAATAAGAAATGGAGAAACAGAGTAGAAAATTTCAATGATCTATTTGTGGAAGTTTAATATACAAAAAGCTAGCATTGCCAATAAGGGAGCAAAAGAGATTTTTCAACAAGTGGTATTTGGACAACTGATTGACCATTTGAAAATAAAAATTTAATTCCTATATGCCACACGGTGCATTATAAAAATTCTCAGATGGGTTAAAGATTTAAATGTAAAACATACCAGAAGAAAATGTTTATAATCTTGGGGTTAGAAGATATCCTTCTTTCTTTCTTTTTTTTTTTTTTTAAAGATTTATTTATTTATTTTTTATTTATTTGACAGACAGAAATCACAAGTAGGCAGAGGCAGGCAGAGAGAGAGGGGGGAAGCAGGCTCTCCGCCGAGCAGAGAGCCCGATGCGGGGCTCGATCTCAGGACCCTGAGATCATGACCTGAGCCGAAGGCAGAGGCATTAACCCACTGAGCCACCCAGGCGCCCCGATATCCTTCTTTCTAATGTACAACAAAGTCAGATATCACAAAGGAAAAGACAGATAGGATCACCAAACCACAATCTTCAAAAATGACAAGGTTCTGAAAGGTGTAAGGTACTACAGCTCTAAGATAAATGACAAGGTGGGAGAAATATTTGTAAATCTATGTCACAGTTAAAGAATTAGTACCTACAATATATACTGAGCTCCTATAAATCTAAAAAATCTAACCCAAGAAAAATGGGCAAAGAGCACAAATAAAAAATTCATGAAAGAAATGATATCTCATGGTTACAAAAGTATGTTCAATCCCAGTTATAATCAAAAGAATGCTTGTAGACAATTTTATTTTTCACCTGTTAGATTATTAATAGGAGACACATATGGGTGACAGATATACCAAATAATGATTGATAATGTCCAGTGTTTGTGAGGGTGTGGAGAAATGAGAACTCTCAAAAACTGATACTTTCTAGAAGATAGTTGGTTAATATTTATAATATAAGATGTGTATATCATTTGATCCTGTATGTCCATAGCTAGCAACTTATTTTATAGAAAAAAATCTATATGCACATAAATATGAAAAAATAGTATAAGGATATTTATTGCACCATTTGTAATAGTGAAAACCTGCAAACAACCTAGTGGTCTGCCAAAAGGATTAATTTAATAGACTGCAGCATGTAGATACAAAAATTACTATGGTATTATTAAAAATATATATATTGTCATGGAAACAAATCCATGACATATGTTTAGCTGAAATAAACAACTGGTAGAATAACATTCATAGTATAATCTGCCAAAAGAGGCAGTGAACTATGGAGGTGAGGAGGATGGGCTTTGAGGTCAAACAGACCTGGATTTGAGTCCTAGTTCCATTATATATCAGATATGTGAAAATGACTAATTCCTTTGAGTCTTCATTTGGTTTCTTCATTTGTCCAACTGGAGTGGGTTCTAATAGAACCTACCCCACAGAGTCATAAGGAGAATTTCTAGCACACAGCAGAGGCTAAGTATATACTAGTTATAATTATTACTGTTACCATTTTTTGCATACTTATTATTTTCAACCAATTCTCTTATGAAAACAACTTCAAAAAGCAAATCTAATATCCTTTGGAAAATTGTGCTGGAAAGAGTCTTTAACCAAAACTATACATCAAAGACACTTTTAGCTTATGTAAAAAAAAATTCTGTTTATTTGATCATCTAGTAGATAGGATAACAAGTCTGACACATCAATTTTTGATATAGTTCTGTTTTGACTGAATATTCATAAGCTACAATGTAAATACGGAACACATTTGGACACTACAGTCAAGAATCAAAATAAAGAACTATTACCTTTAGATAGCTGCTGTTATGAGAACTTTAAAAAATCTCAATGGCACAAAATAAAAATCATCTTCTAATCAGCAAACTGATTATTAATATCATTTTGTGGTAGTTCTTATGTATACATACTTAATTTTCAATTGTGTTATCAGGAAAAACACACCAAAAAGTGGGAAGGCACCCTTTTAAATACTTTTCTCTAATAACAGTAGGAAAATGAGCCATTCAAAATGAGAAAAACGTGCTATGTAATAACATGTCAAATGCCTAGATCAACATAGAGTTCATACACAAAGAACCATACATACCCTTCTATTCGGAAAATCGTTCGAAAGCTGTCTCCCAAGCTTTTATAACTGTTTGGATCGGTTGCACATCTCTGAATCTGGAACCTAGGGTAAAAGAAAAAATCAAACAACAACAAAAAGATCCAAGTTAAGAATTTTGCCAAATGGCTTTCCCCATTTTTCAGTCTTAGGACACTTAGCCTTTTCAGGTTAACCTAAAATATTCTGGGTTTTGCTATAGATTCTATTGATTTATTTGCCTTCTACAATCTTAACCTTATTTTTGTAGACTTTAAAATTATATTCTTCTGTACTTAAATAGAAACTATAGAAAGAGTTTTTTCATCTGTTTCTTAGCCAGGCAGATGCACCCTGAGGCATGTGTGCCTTTTTCTTTTTATGAAAAGCATACACAGATGTCATAGATTGTTTTACTGTATAATTCAGAAATCTGAAGGTGCATATGAAACAAATAAGTAGCTCTATTTCTTATCTTAATTAGTGCCCCCTTGATGGTAATTTAATACAAAGGTTAAAAATACAGAGCAGCTAATATGGCCTAACTTTGATCGTGATTGTGAATTTGGAATTCATCCTGGCAGACAGGAACCTGTGCTTAGAGCAAGAGTTGCAGCTGTGTTGTGGTACAGTTTACAATCCCTACTTCTCCTTCATGATGGAGCAGAGCTGGTCATTACGTTCAGGCTTCCTGAGTTTTCACAGAAGCATATAGTTTGGTGCTCAGTAAAAACGTACCACATTTTAGAAAGCAAAATTCTTTTTTTTTTCTTCTTCTTTTTGGTTAGGAGCATGCATCTCAGGGCTCTCGCCTTTAACATTTGGGAGTTTCCCAACGTGAGAGTCTTAACTTGCTCATTGTGTATTTTTACTCCGGGGTTTGTTTCTAATGAGATTTATGACAAGGACTCTCATTCCCCTACACCCCAGTTGTTCTCCATTTGGGGGTTTCTTTAGTCTCCTCGCTATTTGTGTTTAACTCCCTTGTCCCAATTCTGAGTTAAGGCCCCTCTGTTCTTCCTTCCACAGTTTTACTAAAAATTTTTAAAAGAATGCTTCCAAAAACACCTCTTCGATCGTCTACTTTAAGATGCTTTTCTCAGATTGTTGGATTTATAATACAAACACTTCTACCTCTAAGAATGATGTGTTTTATGGGTTCTAGGCCCCAGGGAATTATGCTGAAAACTGACATATATATCACAGAAAAGAGTGAATATTTTGCTTTGATTGAAGGCAGTTGGGCATATGAATGGAATATATTATAAAACTGGAAAGTGAGGCTGGATTATATTTGATTTTGTAGGGAGTCACTGAACATAACTGTGCAGGAGGGTAGCCATTCTGAGAAGAGGAAGTTGAGGATCCCAGCACAGTTCTTCCAGCAGAACACACACAAATACCTACAAAAAATATTTACTGCCTGATTGGGTGGATTGGAATGGGAGTCTGGAGGGTGGAACATCATGAAGCGGTATAATAATCCTGGTGGAGATAATGCCTGAACATCAGGGGAGGCAAGAGGAATGTAAAGAAAGGGGTAAGCTTGTTGGGTAATTCCTTTTCTTTTTAAATATATGCGTGTGTGTGTGTGTGTGCACATGCGCACACGCATGTGTGTGTTTTATGATACATTCAACATGACACCTTCTTGATCCTCTTCAACCCACCAAGCAATATTCTACTATTGCCAAAATTTAAAATGTCATAAATGCTCATCTTCACAATGGTTTTGTTCATCAAATTTAAAACTCCATTAGCATGATCATTTTTTGAAGGTTAGTTTTTAGATAAGAACTATATCTCTAAGATTTGAATTGTATTGAACTCATCAGAAGATCATGGACCAAGACAGCTCACTCATTTAAACTGTTCCGGATCTAGAGGTACATTTGGTGTTGGCATAACCACTGGCCCAGAAGGCTGAACAAGCAGTTCTGTCTAGAACCAAGAACATGATTTTATGGTCAGGTAGATGGACCATGTTTGGTATTTCTGGACTACTGCATATAGGTGAGATAACTCGGTACTTTGACTACACATGAATTAACACTAAACCCAAAATAGTACAATGAGAAAACGACATGTACACCTACACAACAAATAACTTTGCATAAAATTTGTTTATACTACAAATAACAAACAGCATAGGGAGTGATTTCCAAAATATGATGCTAATTCTTGTGAGAAAAAGAATCTCCAACTCTGCATTTCCATATTTGTAAGGTATATTCACTGCTAAGGAAGAAACATTTTCGTACGTTCTTAGTTGGGAAGTCCAACATTATTCTCTAACTGTTCTTTTATGAAAATAATTTAAAATAGTTTTATATATTATCAAAGTATTACATGGTCATAGATTTTTCTCATAATATCTGTAAAATTTTCATTAAGTTCACTTACCTCCATCAAATTCCTTTCTAGATACTTTTTCCCCAAATTACCAAGTATTCTTTAAAATAATTGTCATATGAAATGAGGTCTACAGGTTAAAAAAAAAAAAAGCTCAGAGCATTATCTTCACTATCAAAAGTTGCAATAAATAAGTAAATGAGAACAATAATTTACAATATAAAGAAAAAGATCCAAAATGTCAAGTAGCACCAGTATCAAATTGCCCAGGTGTTCATCAGAGGGAGCAATTACTGCTCTCTGCAGAGGGTCAGGAAGGACTTCAGGAAGGAGAAGGGATTTGAGCTGGTCCTGTAGGATTCAGAGGCAAAAAACGAGTAAGCAGGAGAAAGCACTCCAGGTGGGGAAATGAGAGAAACAAAGTCCAGGGAGGAACAGTTGTCCTTTGAAGAGAAGTGAAGAAAGAGATCCCCCACCATGGCAGCATCCCACATTTCCTTCAGGTGTGAAGAAAACCTGCTGTGGCATTCAGTTGCTCAGGTGCGTGGAGACCTGAGTGGGTTGGGGGAGGAAATTAATGAGATAAAATTGAAAATCCCAGTAGAGACCATGTGACCTCTTCCTGCTCCTCAGCGGAGTACTTCAGTGAAATCTTCATGGCTATCTCCCAGTGATGTGACTCCGGTCCTAGAAGGGTCAGCAGAGGGACCAAAGCAAGTACATCCCAATGCTTAGAAAAATGACCTTAGCCCCTCTTGCGCTGCTGAAGCTCAAGACATCGACTTTGTTTATGATGTCTGTGTGCCTGGGTAACACTGAGGCAGGTCTTCTGTCAGCTTACACCAAGATGAATACAGACTATGGTTATTTCATAATTAACTTAATTAACTATATCACCTAACCTTGTATTGGAAGTCTAGGCACTTTATTTGCTAGTTGCAATTTCTTTCTTTTTGTAGAATCTGACGGATGCTATTTCTAATCTGCCATTCATTCAGCTACTAAGAGTTCTTGACCACTTAGTATGTATTAAGTATTCCACTATTTGGGGTATTACAAAGAAGTAAGACATAATCCTGCCCTTTAGAAGTTTCTAGTTAGGTGAAGGAACTATGCAAACAGATGATTTCCATATGCAAGTAATGACAGTGTTTCAGAGTATCCAGTGTCAGCCAAGGAGTTTTCCTGGCACTGAGTAAATACCATTATTACTCTTCCTGGAGATGATCTCCTATCTATGGGTGGACTGTAGCTGACAGAAAATAGTACTGTGAGGAGACACTGACGGGAAGAAGGAAAATGTGAAGGCTAACTTTGGGCTAAAGATCTGTGATTATATTTTACCCACGCCCCCTAGAACAGGCAACAAGAACAGTGAGTGGAATCCTTAAGGAGTGTTCCACTTAGAAACTGACTGATGAGTGATGCTGTGTTAATTACAAACAGGAGTGGCAACATCAAAATAACATTCCATGAGGAGACTCCACAAGCTATGCTGTAAAGCAGTGCAAAAGGACGGGCAGGCAGGGTAAATACTAATTCCTTAGTAAAGCCACCCACCATTCTTCACTGGAGGTCTCATTAAGCAGGCTAAAGCAAGCACGGCTGTCTCTTCTACAGCACATCGCTAATACGGCGTGTCTATACGTTGCAGAGAAAGCACATGCAGTATTTAATTCTACTACACATGACTTGTTCGGATCATAGAGTTATCAGTTCTTCTAAGGAATCTGTTTTAAGTTGATATAATTACAGTGCATTTTGGTCAATCATGTAAAACAGCAATTTCCTTCTTCCTTTCCACTCATTTCAGCAACTTAAAAGGTTTCTCTCTTGGATTGAAGCTTTACGTCAGCATTATTCCAAGCTGCATTCTGGGCTAACAAATTCTCTCTATGCCCGGGGAGACAATCTTCCAGTTACGTAATATAACTCTTTGTAAAATTACCCAGGCAAAGCCACACTACTCTTGATTGTATTTAGAAGAAAAGGTTGGACCTTTCCATTGTCCTAATAAAAGCAGCTTAGACACATCTGGAATCTCCATCTGAGAAACTTCTCTTATTAGAATGAAAACGTGCTGCCAAACTGGCAAATGGGACAGGGGAGTAACACTCGAGAAGCATTCAGTGCCTGACATGCAATCAGGATGAACCACAAAGACGTGTGGCTCAAACCCTCCATATGCCTCATTGCCCAGGAGGCAGCAAGCCTGTTTGCTGGGGTTCCAGGGAGCACAGTCGGACACACTCCTCTGAGCGGAGGGAACAGCCCTGTCATCCACCATGCCATAAACATGAAGTGAGTTACTGTGGTAACCCACCAGGGCAAAGAAGGGCTGCTCAATGTTCACAAACAAATGTACAAGCGTATTTTTAAAAGCTGAAGAATGTTCTCACTCACTAAACTATTTTTCTCGGAACGGGTTGAGAACCATTACTGCAGCGTTTCCCACTGGCTTCATTGTGTGCTTAGCCAGGGATACCCACTTTCAGACTAGTCTGCTGCTGATTTTCTGCACAGCTAGGAACGCCAGGTTGGGCATTCAGCTGGTCTGGGTGCTTCCTAAGACACGGTCATAAAAAAGATCTGTCTTTAAGAAATAAAACGACTTTGCTTGCCTTAAAAGCTGTAGGACAAGGTTGTTTGAAAATTTCAAAATCTCAAATTTCTGTGGTGCCTTTATTTGCAAAGTAATTTTTCAATCTATCATCTTTTTAAAAAAGATTTTATGT